TTGGGAATCTCTGGTTGTTTGGAGGAATGGAGATGATGGTGATATATACTTCCGATCATCAGCAATATGCAGTTTTAGGTCGATATTTTAGAATACCGGCTGCAATTTAGTTCTGAACATGTCATCTTCTAGCTTAGTAACTAGACAAACTATTATATTAGTATATTTTATTGTTTTGTCAAGAAGTCATTTTCAATGGATTTCATGAAATATGTTCCTGTCAATGCAACGTACAGTAGATAATTTAATGTGAAATCAGGCACTCATGTAATATAAAGCGAAAATTATGTTTGTAGAACGAGGAAGGTGATTAAAATCAAAACAGCTATGAGGAACTACCTTGTCTCTTGTGGAAAACAAAGTAGTTCCTCTAGGGATACTGGGTTGAAAACTGCTGGATTAATTTTGAATACCTCCCATACATAAACACACATAGGGGGCACACTGGACTAACACAATCATGCATACCTGTGTTTCCATAGTAACTCCTTATCTTGTAATGTCATTTCTAATGTAGATAAGGGGTCTTTTGTTATGACTATATCAAGTCTTTCCACATCTTTATCTGTTGGTACAGCACAAGAATCAGTGTCCTGGAAAAAAATACAACATACATGAATTGTTTTCATTTCCCCAACCCCAATATCTGTTATATATTAAACATTTAAATTTAACATCACAAAATCAGAAACATGTACTGTACTTGACTCATTTTAATAGCGCCCACAGTTGACTAAGCACATATCTCCAACCCCCCACCACCCTAGCATTTGGTGGATTTTGATTTTTAGGTAAAGTTTGACTTATTGCCCATTCCCTTCTAAAACACCCCAAATATGACTGTTAAGTCACAAAACCTGGTTTACAGGTTTCCTTCTGATCACAAATCTGTATTTACTGTAAAATTCCATCATTAGTAGTGATTTAGTTGCATGGGTGTACATTTGGCTAAATAGTGCTGTGATGCAATCAGTCATTGCTGGCAATGTACTGTAATGGACTGAGCATATTTGGTTGAATCACTAAAATGTAATGTGCAACCAAAATCCAGTATGTAGAATCAATGTAGTGAGTTTCAACAAAATCATCTCAGAAAAACAGTTAACCCAACCATGTATGATCATGATACAAAGTTTGAATGACATTTCCGTATTCATCTCTGAAGTATCAGAATTTTGTGGATCAAAGGGCAACACAATTTGATGTGCATATATAAGCCATCATACATAGTCTGTGTATAATTGTGACTGATCAAAATATGTCAGAGAAATGGGTCGAGCTATATGGAACGCAAACGTCCTTGATTTTGAACTTCTTCCGAAATGGGAACTACGGTAATCAATGACAATGGAATTTGTTTCTTTGAATATTCTTTTTACTTTCCTAGAGAGTTAATCTTGTAAAACATTTTATGAACATGCTGACCAGGAACATTCATTGGGGGGGGGGGGGGGGGGGGGCTTGTATTATTGCCAGTTAAAGTTGGTGTACAAAATATTAACTTTAACATTCCACACTAACCATGATTTCTCTGACAAGACCTTGAATTTCGGTGTATGACGGGAATGTGACAGGGTTTGTAGCGAGTCTATCAAATTCCAGCTCTAGGCACGGCATATCCATGTCCGGATTTGATCCAGTACGACGAAATGGAAACAGAATACCATCTGCTTCTTGTGGTACCGGCCAAAGATACAAACTCATGTTTCCAGATTGTAAGCGGTTGAGGTAATCAAACAAGTTCACATTACCCCACGCCAAAGCAACCTTCTCCTGTGAAGACACAAAACAACAACTTTAGTTAGTGTAAAAAACTACTAACCACCGCTACATTTAAATGGTATGTCCCATATTATACATACTAGTACTGCAAAACATGTCTTTTTAGCCAGCATGTTATTTTAGCTAATTTAGCTAATTCAAGATGTCGCTTATTTATTAGAAAGTATATTCTCACAATGAGAATACAGCTAAATTAAGATTATGTTAATGTATGCATGGAGTCAAGTTTTAAAACTAATAAAGAACATAATACATTGGGTTTTTTTCTGAGCAGGAGGCATATCAGGAATTCATTATAAAGGTGTTCATTATAAAAACATTAACAGTGTATTGTAAAACATGGCATAATCAGTCACACACAAAATGGTCACATACTATCACATATTTTAGCATAGGGGTTTAATATGTTCCAAATAAAGCATTCTTTACTGAAGTATTGTATGAACACACAGTTTTTTACAAATTTAATAAATTTCTTTGACTGTTAAAGAACCCAAATTCCTGACTATGAAATCAGTATACTGATGATTGGAATTCCTCCTTCGTTCAATAGTGCAATTGAATTGTCAAACTCAAACCATTCAATACTGTGGTACATTCGACCTGCTTATTAAATTAAAATTATTAACAAACTTATTGAATTTTTATACTTTATTTTACCTCTTTCCGTGCTTTCCGTCGTGATGTAGAACAAATAGAAAGACACAAGCGTGCATTCCGAGGAATATCTTGTACACGTAAATTATAGGTAAGCCATTCATTCCATAATGGTGTAGAACAGGGTACTTGTTTGGTATTGACGCATTCACAAAGTGATTCGTTGCCATGGTAAATGCCACTATGTACATGTATCTAGAAAACAATAAGAAGTCTGAGATCAGTTTATACAAACAATTTATTTTAAATAAACCATTTTTGATTTTAGAAAAATCCTGGTATAAATTTGATCAAATCAATAAACATCTCAAATGTAATGTAATGATGACAATGATTGGGTTCTTAAGACAGGGAATCACCTCTATGAATTCATGCCCGAGGGGTGGGGGTGTCCTTAAAACAGGAAGTTGCATGACATTTCATCTGTATAATAAAAGCCCTTGCATTATCGAATCTTGGCTTAAAGTACTCTCACTCAGCCAACATTCATCCCAGGGATTTTTTAAAACAAGGGAACAGGAGCGCAGTGCCCTCATGCCATGGTCATGCGTCCTCTTACCCTGGGGAGCAGGTCCTCTGGCAACCATAAAATTCTGATTGACCAGGGATCACATGTGGCCACAGTCTTCAACTGTGACCTGTCTGATAGTAATTTTGGCTCCAAGGAAGCCACAGAATGCTTCATTTTAGCTTAGAATTATCAAAAATGGTAGGGAGAACCTTATCTCCCCTACTTGGTGGCTCCGCTGAATTGCAATGCTCCCTCTTGCAGTTTTTTTCTAGATAAACCCCTGCATCCATCATAGAAGTTACAACTTTGATTTTCTTGTCATTTCAGCGTAATATACAGCCATAAACCGCAGTCTTCGCTTACCTTATCGAACTCCTTTGCATTGACGTAAGTTGCACAAATTATTCGAATTCTTAGAAAAACTTCTACTTCCCATAGGGATATTATATTTGCATCGACAGTACCACCATGACGACGTGAATAAGATGGCATCACAAATTCATTTTTAGGTATTGTATTGTAAACTGATTCTTTAGACATTAACATCAACTGGGGGAGTGTGCCTTTTATTATGCATTGCTGGAGAAACTGAAACAAAAATAGAAAATTAAATTTATAATGGTCATTTACTCTGTACATGTATATGGCGAAAACACACAAGGTTGGAGTAATCAAAGTACAATTAGTAATCACACATACTAACAGTGTTTTACAATTTTATTTTACAAAAACTGTAATTCAACATTACTTTTGAAGTTGTTGTTTTAGAACTATAATTTATTGGACAAAAAGTTAATGAATTAATATTATGACAGAACCCCACACCCTCCCTGTGGCTTTCGTTGCGTATGGAAGTTATTTTCACGAGTGATGTGGTTATTCTGCGGCCGTACGCTGTGCGGCCTTTTGTGTTCCAAAGACAACTTCAAGAACTATCCACGAATAGATGTATTTAAAGTTTGCTCTTTTCCACATAAAAGGTTACAAAATTTGCAAATTTTATTATCCAAAAAGTACAAGTCACATTTTATTTGTTTGGTCCAAAATATAAGATTGAATTCAGTGAAAAATTACAGAAAATGTGAATAAATTTACCCTGTTTTGAACAGGAAAAAATAGGCTCTCAATAAGTTTTTATAGTTGCTATTCAGTTGACTTCTACACTTACACTCGTATAAAAAAATTATTTTCATCAAACATGCTAAATTGTAGAGAAATCAATTAACATTCAAATCTGTTCAGTCAATATATAAAGCATTGGTGAAATACCCTCTCTAATGGACAAAATGATAAAACTTTTGCGCTTATAAGATCGTCAGTAAAAAAGCAGGAAACCTTTTTCTAACCCAACTTCTACATCTTGCTTTTCTTTATAGTTATCACTCTGTGTTCTTTACATTCGGTGATAGTCTCCTGTTTTTGTACTGACAATCAGTTAAACAAAAATTCAAAAGCAGACAGACAGATAGGTTGAAATCGTAGGCTCCCTGTGTGTGACTTACACAAGAGCTAATAATCTTTAGAATTACATATCATACTGAATCACAGATAATCACCATGAATCACCATGGCAACCAGACTCATGGTATATTCATACAATGTGTAGAAATGTTGCTTCAGTTTAAAATGTCTTGCAAAGTGAAGGAAAACCTGTGTTACTATGGCTACTACACTACACTGTTTTATTACAGCAGACATCTGTGATTTGTAATTTGTTCTATATCAAAGACAAAATTTTTTTAAGTCCACCTTTATGGAATCCCTTGTCCAAAAACAGATGGTTTAAACAGTATTCAGTTTACAGTGTTCAGCTCTGATCAGATTCATTTAACACAGGATTTAAACAGTGTTCAGTTCACAGTGTTCACCTCTGAACAGATTCATTTAACACAGGGTTTAAACAGTGTTCAGTTTACAGTGTTCACCTCTGAACAGATTCATTTAACACAGGGTTTAAACAGTGTTCAGTTTACAGTGTTAACATCTGAACAGATTCATTTAACAGAGGGTTTAAACACGGTTCAGTTTACAGTGTTCACATCTGAACAGTTTCATTTAACACAGGGTTTAAACACGGTTCAGTTTACAGTGTTCACCTCTGAACAGATTCATTTAACATAGGGTTTAAACATGGTTCAGTTTAGTGTTCAGCTCTGAACAGATTCATTTAACACAGGGTTTAAAGGCCCAGGTATACTATAAATACGCTCCTAAACAATAGGGGTCATTTCCTTGCTTGTCACGCTGTAGTAAACAGCTCCAGCCAAGCTCCGGTAAAAACGTGTTTTCTCGAACTTACAGGTCGATTATGTCGTGCCAAAGTGGATGCATGTGACTATGAATATCACAGTAGTGACTGTGTGTAATATTTATGACAATAAATTATGTACGAGCTGAGATTTTGGCGGATAAAAGTAAAGAACATGAACCGGGGAAAGGGATGCGCGACTAATCTTGAATAATTACTACTGTCAATCAAAGTCATGTGATGTTGGACCGCTGAAACAGGATGCATCATAGGCTACGCAAGTGATTAACACCATGCATTAGAATAGCCACACCTCCAATTCACACTTGCCCGGGGCAAGTGAATTGGGCCTTTAAACAGTGTTCAGTTAGGACAAGTCAGTTTGAATAACTTCAGTTTACACAGGATTATGTTAGGATGGTTTAGTACACACACAAAACGTTCAGTTTACACAGAGATTAGTTTGGATGGTATATTTTTAAAAAGTATTTTTGATTGTTATACAAATATTGTCAGTAACCTAAACCTCCATTTTAAATAATAAATAAAACTACTCACCTTATACTGTGTGATTGGATAATTGCCAAGAAGATATTCTCCACATCCGCATACTTTTAAAACATATGTTCCTTTATATTCTTCCACACACCTCTGTTGTTGCGTCGGGGTCAAGTCCATACTACGTGTCTTCTTACGTATCGTCTCGGCTATCAGATCAATTGGCATTGCATCGTGGGTTATTTTTACTGTGTATTTTTGTTTATCTCCAGCGGCAGAAATGACCCATATGCAAATAATTACACATCCTGTTGATAACAAACAACAACAAAATTATTAAGTCATTTATATAGTTATCTAAATGGAAATCAAGTTAAAAGACCTATTAGGAGTGGGAGTAAACACAGAAATTTCCGGAAAGTTAAATTTCAAGTGAGTTATTAAAAGCAAAGACAAACCTAGGAGTCTCAAAACTAATTATTGAATTATGAACTTTCAGTTATTACTCAATACAAAATGGCTGCCAGAGTAAGGTTTAAACAGTGGGAAAATCACAAGTAAACATTTCCATGGCAACAAGTATGGGTAACTTTTCTTTTTATATATTCTGTGTCATTTATTAGTTGGAACATTCCACTCTTCAAAATATCATTTTTCTGGGAATATTATCAAAAACAGAAATAAACAAACATAAATTTTATCTAACTATAAAACATACATCTATGTGTTCATGAATTATTATGACTATAATGAAATATTGAGACTGATAATCTGTCTGCAAACACTGTTTTCTGAAGTATTTTTATTATAAATTGCAGGGATTACAAACATCTTGATTTCTATTGTAGTTTGTCTCAGGTCACCAGTATGAATCCTGTGTTATAGTATGTTAACAGCGTCCATAGCACCAACAGCCAAATGATTTCAAAGACTTTTCCAGACCTTTTCCTAAACTTTCTTGCATTTTTCCAAGACATTTTGACCCTTAATTCAGGCCAACATCATCACCAAAGCTCATCTGTTCTGAGGATATGGTAGTTCCCTGGAGAAAATGAGCCTTTCTAAAATGAATTAACAACTAAATTTAAAAACCTTTCAATTTTTTTTTTATTTTTCCTGTAATTTAAAGACAACTCAAAGACTTTCCAGACCTCAAAAAATCCAAAGACTTTCAAAGGATTTCCCCAACACTATGGACCTTGGTTAATACATCTGTAATATGTATTACTTTCCCCCAGGTGTTTGCCCCCACATGGAGACCAGAATTATTTCACATGCAATCATATCCGGGTAAGTCATTCTGAGTATGAAATACTAGGCTTTATTTATGTGAAGAAATATATTCTGTGAGTTGTTTGACATCAGAGATTCGACTCACGCACATCCATCTAGTTGTATTTTGTGTTATCTTGAGTTCCTGTAATCCTATACTCTAGAATACTAGAGAGTGTTATAAACTAGATGTGTGTAGAAAATTGATGAATCAATGTACTTCTGTGATTGAGATAAAGAAGTGTAATCTCAAGTACCGGCAGATAAATTCTCAGACCAAGTAATTAGTATTTAACCTTTTCACCACCAGACTTTCTCTCCCAAATGTTTCTGCACTTTCTTCTTGTATTCTTCAATATTTCTGGAAATGAATCCTAATTTTGGAGCCAACAGACAAAATTTGAGCCAATTCTTAGTTTTTACACAAAAAATTTGGATATTTTTGTCCCAATCTTTTGAAAGGAAACGCAGACTATAAACAGAACTATTTAGTGAATTTGTGATGACAAGAGGGACCTGGTGGTGACAAGGTTAAATCGAGAAGTGAAAACTGATTAGCCTTCAGTTGCTTTAAAACTCCTAGTGAATATGTTCTATTAATAGCACTGAAAACTTTCTAGTAAAATTATGCCATAAATAATAATTTTTGCAGCAAAAACTAATTAATACATCTACCTTTGTTTTCTAAATGTATACCATTGAAACTAAGTAAGTGGTACTAACTATAGACCCTCTAAAAGAGAGTCTATGTACTAACTGAATCAATCATAAACCACAGTATTCAAATTAGCTAATTAATATTCACAAACTAAGACACACAGAAATATATGGACATGTTCGTATCACATCATGCTATAATTATTAAGTTTCAGCGTCATTCAGATCTTGAACCATAAAACAAATACAAAAATGTTGAAACCACCTGATCATTATGCAAATAAGCTACTTAGTATTCATAGCATTGCATAACATACTCACAGATCTCTCATTACACCATCTGTGAACCAAACTTCAATGAAAATAAGTCAATATTATTATGCAAATAAGCTACTTAATGTTCATAGCATTGCATAACATACTCATCAGATCTCTCATTACTTCATCTGTGAACCAAACTTCAATGAAAATAAGTCAATATTATTATGCAAATGAGCTACTTAAAATTCATAGCATTGTGTAAAAATGTAGAACTTTTTAAAGCAGACAAAATGACTCTGGACTATTAAATAAATGTTTGTGCTGCCTGTCATATTCACACAGGTTAAATAACATTGACTAATTCAATCAGATTTACATACAACATTCTAGAATTACATGAGAATACAAATCTTTTTGTTAGGTTACCATGGCAACCAGAATAATTACATAATAGTTTGATTGAATCATTCTGAAGTGGCAGCCTGAAATCGTCTGAAAATGTAAATTTTTCAATAATATAGTACAGTTATACATAAGTAGCTTTTGATTGTCAGTCATCATCAAGCAGGACAGAAAATAGGACTACACAAATGTTTTGTTAAAAATGATCTCATCATATGACCAAAATGTGTTGAATCTCAGCTGGCAAGTACTAACATCCATGTAACACAATTATTTCTAAGTTTTGTTTCAAACCTCCTGGGAAATGTCATTCAATGTGAAATACAATTACAAATACAAGTCCACCTGAGGTATCTGTATACTGAGTGTCATAGCAATGGGATTATCAATAAAATATCACTTTTTATCAATATTCATCAAAATTAGAGAATTGAAGATATTATCACAAAATGAACAAATCTGAGTTAGGTTTGCCTAAGGTATACCAAATATCAAAGCAATAATTGTAGTCTTCAAGAAGAAGTCGAAAAAGTAAAAAGTTAACACGGTCTATGGCGACGACGAACAATCACTCATACAATAAGCTCTGCTCGACAAAGTTGACAGCGAAGCTAAAAATGACAAAAATATTCACTGAAACTCAAGAATTGAAGATATTTGCAGAACATATAAACAAACCTGAGAGAGCTCCACCCATAGTACATGTCGTTGTATATAGCAAGTCTCAAACTATCGTAATCCAACTTTCACTTTCAAGAAGTCAAAATGTGAAAAGGTGACACGACACGGTCGTCTACAACAATGGACAATCAGTATATGACTACATGTAGCTCCGCTCAACAAAATGAACAGCAGAGATAAAAATAATAGTACAGCAACATTCTGAACAAAATTTGGCAAGTAAAATACTAGCTAACATGTTCCACAAGTAATAATACATGTACTGTATTAATCTCAATGTCACTTAGAAAATAATATGACATGGAATGTATAAAAGTTATGAAATAATATTGCATTAATATATATATAAGCAGGTGAGGAAAACCCTGAACTTGTCAGATTTTGTATTTATACTCATGACATATCATTTAATACACTTATCTAATTGACAGATCTTTGAGGGTATATTACTAACATCAGGTTCTCATTATCAACAGTTCAATGTCTTCATTATGTGCAGTTACCGGTAATTCTATGTCTAACATTTTTTTCTTTCAGCATTTTACCCCATTTCTTGAAAATTGCACTTGTTAATTATTTGAACTTCATTGACATTTCATTTTATTCTAGTTTGTTAACACAATGACAGTCATAGGCATAAATGTGTTTATTGGTACACAAATGTAGACAATCATCACATTTTCAAGCCAAATATTTTCTGTGAAAATATTTTACAAATTTCATAAATTTTTCTAGTTAGACATATTAAATTGAAATTCTGGTCAAAATGTATGAGAAAAGAAGAAATTACTCAAAAACTAAGTTAACAATGTGAATCAGAAGATCAAAGTTCACAGAGTATCACTATTGGAGCAACCTGTTCACAATTAATTGTAAATTACCCAATAAATAATATATTCTCATTCGCCAGAATACTAATAAATAAGGTGGACTGAATTGACAGCATGTAATTTAACACACAGCCTATTTATTCTTTATGGTATAGTCATCAGCAAACCCTATGAAAATTACCAATCATTGATCATGAAACAAAAAAGCAGAATCTGGGATGGTACAAGCCATATGATTGGTTCTTTTCCAATGGTGTGCCAAACATCTCACAGTACCATAAACAGTTTTTAAACAATTTAGCAACTCAGGAAGAATCAAAATGTTGTTGCAGTGAATCGTGAATCAGTATTCTTCGGACAATAAGTGACTTTCAAAAAATGTCATTCATTTAAAAAAAACTTGTTTCCATACTCATCACTTTTGCACACTAATGATACAATTCAATGTTTTGTGGATTCTTCAAGCTAAAGAAAACTACATTCTTACCATTATCTAATTTACTTGCAATATGATCTGGTAGTTCGCTGGAAGATTCCACACTAGGTGGGTAGACATGCAAAGACTGGGTTTCCATTCCTCCTGCTTCCCTATTTTCAATCACTTCCTTGCACATGTACAAAATATTACGTCGGAAGTCCACCACTTCAAGATCTTTGACAGAATCAAAGTCGTTCACAGACATACCCAAAGCCATTGCTGAATAGAGAAAACAATTCATTTGAATGCAGGCTCATCGCATACTCTCCCAAAATACAGTGTACAGTTGTATACATGTATGAAACCTAATTTTGTGTGTAACATATTGATGAAATAAATTATGTGGCACCAAAGGTAATTGTAGGTATTAACAATTGCAGTCAGATTAGGAGCACTGTTTGCCTTATGATGGCGCTGTTTGCCTTATGATGGCGCTCAAGGGCATTTAGCCACATGTTGGCACTGTTTGCCTTATGATGGCACTCAAGGGCATTTAGTCACATGTTGGCACTGTTTGCCTTATGATGGCGCTCAAGGGCATTTAGCCACATGTTGGCACTGTTTGCCTCATGATGGCACTCAAGGGCATTTAGCCACATGTTGGTACTGTTTGCCTCATGATGGCGCTCAAGGGCATTTAGCCACATGTTGGCACTGTTTGCCCCATGATGGCGTTCAAGGGCATTTAGCCACATGTTGGCACTGTTTGCCTTATGATGGCGCTCAAGGGCATTTAGCCACATGTTGGCACTGTTTGCCTTATGATGGCGCTCAAGGGCATTTAGCCACATGTTGGCACTGTTTGCCTTATGATGGCGCTGTTTGCCTTATGATGGCGCTCAAGGGCATTTAGCCACATGTTGGCACTGTTTGCCTCATGATGGCGCTCAAGGGCATTTAGCCACATGTTGGCACTGTTTGCCTCATGATGGCGCTCAAGGGCATTTAGCCACATGTTGGCACTGTTTGCCTCATGATGGCACTCAAGGGCATTTAGCCACATGTTGGCACTGTTTGCCTCATGATGGCGCTCAAGGGCATTTAGCCACATGTTGGCACTGTTTGCCTCACGATGGCGCTCAAGGGCATTTAGCCACATGTTGGCACTGTTTGCCTCATGATGGCGCTCAAGGGCATTTAGCCACATGTTGGTACTGTTTGCCTCATGATGGCGCTCAAGGGCATTTAGCCACATGTTGGCACTGTTTGCCTCATGATGGCGCTCAAGGGCATTTAGCCACATGTTGGCACTGTTTGCCTTATGATGGCGCTCAAGGGAATTTAGCCACATGTTGGCACTGTTTGCATTATGATGTTGCTTGAGAGGACTGTTAGCCATATGATAATCAAGGGCACTTTGCCTCATGATTGCCCAGTTTGCCTCATGATGGCACTTGAGGGGACTGTTTGCCTCATGATGGCACTTGAGGGGACTGTTTGCCTCATGATGGCACTTGAGGGGACTGTTTGCCTCATGATGACAATGTTCTGATTTGACTGAACACACCAATTCTCACATCTATAACTAGCTATTATACTAACCAATGGACTTGTTTCTTGTCTAACATTCAGTTTTACTACAATTCGTAAATTGACCCTCCTAAGACTAATTGACGTTGACCTTCTTAAGACTAATTGACGTTGACCTTCTTAAGACTAATTGACGTTGACCTTCTTAAGACTAATTGACGTTGACCTTTCTAAGACTTATTGTCATTGACCTTTGAAAGAGTA